TTTCTTTCTTTCTTTCTTTCTTTCTTTCTTTCTTTCTTTCTTTCTTTTTCTTTCTCTTCTCATTTCCCCTTCCCTTTCCCATTCTTTCATAGATCATTTTTGGTAAAAAGTAATTAGTTGGTGATTTTCCCAGGAAGAGCAATCACAGGAGACAGGCACATGGGAGGAAGGAGGAGTGGTGAAGTAATTCTACCCTTCTGAATCAGGTTTGCCATAATTTCTGTGGTGGTCGTGTTCCTTTATAGCTTTCACTTTCTCTGTGCTTCAGAAACACTGTTTCTTCCCCTCAACCCTACAGGCCCAAGGTATGCTCATGGCTTCCAATTGTTGTAAACTATCTGGGAGCTTCAGATCTAGTTGGTTCCATAAATTTTGTCCACACCTATGTAAAATGTCTCTTCATTAAGTTCTCAAAAGTGCAGTTGAGTATACCCTCTACTTTGTTTTGGAACCCCACTTACATACAACATAATTTAAAATCCTGAATTTTCCCTGGAAGTATCCTAGAGTTGAAGCCTCAGTGAGCTCATAGTTTGAGCCTCTAGACAGAGCTGGGCAACACTGGAAGTACATTACAATGAGTCCAACCAACTTCACAAGCTGTCATCACTGGGCCCAGTCGTCCTATGTTTAGGGTATATTACTTATAAGACCCCAATTTTAGGAAAACATTGTATAGCAAGTATGATGTCTTTATTTGTAAATGCCAGAAAATCTTACTCAAACAAGCAATAATATTAAAGAAGATATATTACTTCATATGACATAAAAACCACAAGTAGGAAAGGCTTTAGTCATGATTCCATCTGAAGAAAATTTATTTAGGTATCTTTCTTCTCTCCTTTGAACTGACTTTGTTCTCTTTCTTTCTTTCTTTCTTTCTTTCTTTCTTTATTTCTCTCATTCTTTCATTCTTTCTTTCCTTCTTCTTCTTTCTTTTTTTTTTTTTTTTTTTTTTGGCTAACTTCATTCTTATAGTGGCTTCCTTCATGGTTCCAAGATGGTTACCAAGTGCGATCAGAAATACAAGGTTCCTGGTTTACACTGGACCCTCACAACTGTCACGCTCACATTCCATGCTTTACAGTATATAGAATAATTAACAACAACAAATATTTAAAAAATTGGGCAGAAGACAATGATTTTGTGTGACTTGGCCAAAAATATCTGGATTCTGAATAATTGAATATAGGAAGGATACATTTATTTTTCCTTAAATATTAGATGGCAGTTAAATATATTCAGGGACATGTCTGTATTTTATTATGACAAAATGACTTTAAACACTTCCAGCTTGTGCGAGCGACACTTGTCCTTTTTTACTTACAATTGGTCCTTAGACCAGAGTTCACTATACCACTAGTGAATGTAAGTGGTATATACTTTCATGAGAATAGCAGTATGTCAAACCTTTAGCTATTTAACAATAGCTATGAAATTCATTCTGTTGGTATTATTAGAAAAGTACAGAAGTACTATTAGAAAGTACAGAAGTACTTTAAGTATTATTAGAATAATACTCTAAGTATTATTAGAAAGTACAGAAAGATGCCAGGAGAACGATGATGTGGTCCTTTGTGAAAAATACGTCCACACTTTTAGCTGGGTAGCATCCCGTCTACCACCCACTTCTGGTGAAGATAAGTGGGTTAGATGCTGTTCAAAAGGTGCATTGCAATTTGATCCTCAAAGTGTGTTCCAAATAATGGCAATTTTAAGCTATGGTAGTAAGGTTAGATGGTCCAACAAATTTAGGATATGATGGGTTAAAGACTGAGTCCAAAATGTGTCTTTATACTTGGATTTCTCCAAACTTTTAATATGGAAAGTTGCATTGCAAATGGTCAAGAGGGCAGTTTATTCTGCTGTGTTTCTCAAATATATTTATACGGTAGAAACTGTTTTGAGACTACTGTTTGAAGGAGTGTACCTAGATAAATGACAGGTTAAACTACTCACTGCTGAAGCTGGTTATCTTGTGTTTATGTTCAGAATTTGTAAATGTCTACATGGTTTGAAAAATTATTCATTCAGTAAAAATTTAAGATTGCTTGCTTTCTCACTGTCTTAGTCTATTCAGGCTACTATAACAAATTACTATAGACAATAGGGGAGCTTATAAACAACAGAAATTTATTTAACATTTACAGAGAATGGGAAGTCCACAATCAAGGAACCAACCAGTTCAGTGTCAGGTGGGGGCCTGCTTCCTGGTTCATAGATGGCTGTCTTTCGCTGTGTCCTCACATGGTGGTAGGGGCAAGGGACCTCCCTAGGGCCCCTTTTATAAGAGTGCTAACACCAGCCACAAAGCCTCCACCATCATAATCTAAATACCTCGCAAAGGCTCTATCTCCTAATACCCTCACATGGGGGGTTCGGTTTCAACATGTGAATTTTTAGGGGACAAAAACATTTGGTTTATGATACTCTCTTTGATAAAGTGAAAGGGACCAAGTGGAGGCTCCATAAACTTTGAGGCATAATCATCTCTATTAAATGCCCACACATTATTGACAGTGTCCCATTATGCTTAAGACAATGTAATAAGATACTATGACTTTAGGGACCTCATGTCATGATTTGAAAGGCCAAATT